AACCTGAAGAGGGAAACACACACATGCACACACACACACATAGGGGTATTTGGATGTTATTTCAGCGAACAGCCGAGAGGCAAACTATCCCACTGAGAGGGGAGAGGAACAGGGACACGACTTCAGTAAATAAACAACACCCCATGGCCACTGCCACGGCCACACACATGGAACAGGTTACGGATGGGAGTTGATTGTAGCCTCATGTAACACACACATGTAGGTCCCCCTCTCTTAGGCAATGTTCTGCAAGCCACTAATTATGTTTGCGGGCAGTTTAGTTAACATGAAATGTAATATTCTGTTTACAATCAGAACAAACCAAAAAGTGATTTAACCCATAAAAGGTTTGACAGTGTGTCCATGTGTATACTGGGTGTAAAATGGGTCTAAGCACATTCTTATATGGATGTAATGACGGTGAAACATGGGTCTAATGACGGTTAAATAGGGGCGTTCTACGGGTCTATTAATGTTAAATATGGGTGTATTGTAGAAAATAGCAATCAATTCATTTCCCCAAATATTTCTATGTGGATGCCCATTCAAGGATATAACAATCATCCAGTTATAAAATGTTCCTTTAAACAAATTAAATACTCTCATGGGTTGCGAAACATATTTCTGTTTGTCCACTTCGAGCCAGTGACGTCAGTACATTTCGGGGAAAGTAGAACTTGTATTTAAAAGTTCTCTGAAGCATATACACATTTAGACATTTTTAGTTTATGCAAACCGTTTGAGAGCTTAGCAAATGTATTCAGACAGATAAAGTATTCTGTAGAGAGACTTAGCAAAAGCATGTACAACTCGTACTTATCTAATGTAGATAATTAGCTAAACAGTCTTTTCCCCCTACCTGTTACATCCTCACATGGGAAGATTAAACCCCACACCCACACACACACACACACACATCCAGTCAATGTCCAAAGCTGTATGTAAGTGTATGTATGAAAAGCCATTTGAAGGTCAAGAGTTGAGGCCTAGACAAACACTAACAATGAAGACAATTACCAGCAGATTGGCCTATTACCAAAATAGGCTGCATTCCAGTCTGAGTGTGTGTAACCTTTGGACCGTGTGTGTGTGTGCGTGTGTGTGTGTGTGTGTGTGTGTGTGTGTGTGTGTGTTTGCCATCTGCTGCTAACGAGCAGAGTGAGCAGGGTCCAGGTGTGGGAGTGTTTAGTGTACACTGGGGGGCAAGTGAGCCTCCTGTTTGATACACACACACTCGGAGCGTCTTAATACAGCATAATCGTGTGTGTGCCAGCGGCTTAGCATGAAAGAGGTGCTCTGACCTTTTACAGATTTGGTTGGTTATTAGTCGGTAACTATGCCAACAAGCTATTTTATGAAAACATGTAGAAAAACGTTCTATTGTAGAAAGACACTCAATCGGATACACAAGGGAATGAACAGAGAAGTTTAAGCGAGTCTGCGAGATGATTACCCGATGAGGCAAAGGATGTTTTTTTAACTGTTTGACCGTCTGTTTGCAGAATTAGGGAAAAACGACTGACCGGATTTTCATATAACTGAGTGTTGAAAAGGCCAATAAATAACACATTACATTTGTGAGTGATTCTGAATCACAGGGCGAATATAAAATGAACTTTCAATAGCATTGTATGGAAGTGCATTGGTTCTGATTTATATGGTGTCGGAACAATTGAATAAAATATTATAATATGTCCTCTTTAAGACTAAAACTACATTGACCAGTTCTATCTGAAAACGCAGGGCCCTAGCATCCATCCATCCTGACTATTAATGTTGCTTTTCGAAATATGCATGCATTCAAAGCCTCCTGCAGACATCTTGTAACTGCATCTTAACAACATGTTGCATCATGTTACCCTGCAGACTGTGTGTGGGTGGCTGTCTACCTTTATATATAAAGGTGTTGTTTCTCTGTATTTCAACATAACAAGTTTACAGTCTTGCTCTCAACAACAAGTGGCAGTTTGACTTTCCGTTTTGTTTTGCGTACCCAATCTTTAACAGATTTCCTCTCTGCCAGCCCCTTCCCTTAATCTGTTCCCCCTCCTCTCATGGGGCATCAGCACTATCTCATCACAGTGGATGGATATCGGGTGTTTACCGCCTCCTCGTGCCAGTCGGATGCAGGGCGTGGGGGTGAGGCTGCCAACAGGAGGTGGGCATGGGGCGCCAGCAGAGGCTCCACACTGAGACACATGCGTAATTAGCATCCAAGACGGAAGGAGGGAAGAAAGGGATGGATGGAAGGAGGGAAGAAAGGGATGGATGGATGGGAGAGGAATAGATGGCAGTACAGGAGGCTAATTATGCCGTTTGGCAGGAGACGGCGCAGCGAAGCGCTTTGGAAAAAGGCAAATCTGAGCATCTCAGTCCCAGGATAAAAGCCCTGCTCAGGCATTGTGTCAAAGCACTTGGACTCTTGTATGAGGCTTATTGTATATGGGAGCATTGCGAAGCCAAAAGTGCTCCAAGAAAATTCATTTCCTGATCCCCGGCAATACTTTCTGATGAATGCGACAGCTGTGCTGCTGGAGTTGATTGGGGTGTGTGTGTGTGTGTGTGTGTGTGTGTGTGTGTGTGTGTGTGTGTGTGTGTGTGTGTGTGTGTGTGTGTGTGTGTGTGTGTGTGTGTGTGTGTGTGTGTGTGTGTGTGTGTGTGTGTGTGTGTGTGTGTGTGTGTGTGTGTGTGTGTGTGTGTGTGTGTGTGTGTGTGTGTGTGTGTGTGTGTGTGTGTGTGTGTGTGTGTGTGTGTGTGTGTGTGTGTGTGTGAGAATGCATATCATCTGGCACTGTCAAGACGGGGCTTTCTAATTTGGAAAAAGGGAAAAGTGACATTTTGCTCACACACACACACACACACACACACACGCCAAGCACTCTGCCGGAGCGTTTGTCAGCTGCAGCAATGACTGTGCACAATTATACTCTTTACAACGAAGATTGCTCCTGATATGTTTAAGCTGATTTGCTCTCCCTGATGACAAAGTATTAAAAAGCAAGTCTGAGGATCTGCTGATTGTAAGCTTTGGGTGTAGATTACACACAACAGCAGTGAAAGATTAAGAAAGTCTTCCAACTTTACGATGTTCCCACATGACACGGTAATGAGAAAAGGGAAGTTCTCTATTGTGGTCTGGTCTGGAGAGAATCTGGCTTTCTGTCAGCTACTGTCTGCACAAGACATTCACTTTTCCACTGATAACCACATACATATACTGTAGATACACATGTGGTGTCACCAGGTTCAGCATGAGGACGTGAACTTGCGTGCGAGGAATAACAACATCGACGTTTCCGCCTCTGGTGCTCTGAAGACGAGGCCGTTTTCTGTCGGATGTTTTTTACTGTTGCGTTTTGTCTCTAACCTGGATGAATTTCATTTCGCTGTTTTACCAGTTGCCATGGTGAGACCGAGACTTATTGTGTGTGTTTGTTTACTTGTGTGTGTGTGTGTGTGTGTGTGTGTGTGTGTGTGTGTGTATAGAGTTAATAAAGGAATCATTTAGGCCTATGTCTGCAGGCTACTATGTTAATACAATCAGTGGACAAAGAGTATCACTCATTTTATCCAAACACACATTTCCTCCCCTCCTAATCTTCCTTTTCCCTTCTGCTGCGCTTCACACTCACAAGATGTATGATGTCTTGTGAAACACACACACACTTGGTCGCACACACACAGAAGGCCTCCCACCTGAGTCCCAGCTTCTTTCTGAGACTAATGTCCCTTTACCTCACATTACGCATAATGTCCCCTACCTAGCGCACAGGCACAGCCATCCAAAAGATGGAGCATCCGCTTCCAGACATCATATTAAACCTGCGCACTTCCACAATATTAACATACACACACACACACAGGCACAAAGCCACTTTAGTGAATGGCGCAGCAGCCTTGCCTCTGATGTGCTTTCACTTCCTGGCTCCCATTCAGAGGCATTAGAGCTTCCAACATTACATGCTAATGATATCTGGTAATGCGCCGCTGAGGCATTGACATGCAGAATGAGTTTAAACTCATACGTACATGCAAAACACGGCGATACACTCGTCCTTCACAGAGTCATTTAGACTCTGTAGTGTGTGTGTGTGTGTGTGATACTAAACGTGTTTACCTCTTTAGATGTGGGGGTCTGCTGGACCTGTGATTGTGTGTTTATGTACACACATGTCAGTTGTGTGTTAGGCTGCCTCAGTGTGTGACTGCTGGAGTGTGTATGTCACGCAACAGTGGTGTGTTTGACCGGTGAAATGTCCTCTGAGTAAACAGCCTGTGTTTGTATGTGGAAACAGAGCCCAGATGATTGAAACTGTGTGTTCGCTCCTCTCTGTCTTTGTTTAAACCCCTGTGTAACTGCTGTAACCCTGCACCTATTGTGCAAGCACATGAAGGCACGCTTTTCTCCATGTGAGCTCACAGAAAACTTTAAAGACGACATATTATGTTAGTTTTCAGATTCACATTTAGTGCCTTTACTGTGACATCTTTCCATGCTTTAATGTTCAAACAGCTCTTTATTCTTCTCATACTGCCTGTGCTGAGCCGACCAGATTTCTGACTTTAATCAGTGTGTGGATGACAGTGTGAACAACCTACCCTATAATGTCATATTCTTCATATAACTGGCATGTTTGTATGAACAATACACACACATGGTCAATGTAGGGCACGCTGCTACATGTGGTTACGTGTGTTTACGTTACCACATGTGGGGCATTGCATGAGTTCTTCCTCTCTTCTTTGGCTGCACACGATACATGTAAATACTGAATATTCGTCCACTTAATTTCATATTACTGAGGTTAAGCGTATAGCCTGAGGATACGTTTGTTCTGCTTCAGTTGGCCGACAATCCGCAAACAGCTTAACTAATTTTTTTTAATCTACCTTCTATAATTACAGTATGAGTTAAACTAGTTGCTCAAGGGTGTTTTGGCTGTTGGACTGATCCTTGGACCTTTTTAGTCTCCTTACATTTTTCTATCCTCCCCTCACAGATGGCACCCAGAGGAGCCGAGTCTCGGACAGCGCCCCGCTACGAAGAGGTGGACCGGCAGTACCCCACACAACCCAGGTGAGACCACTCTGTCCACAATGCCACTCCCTCCCTTTGTGTCTCCAACACACACACACACACACACACACACACACACACACACACACACACACACACACACACACACACACACACACACACACACACACACACACACACACACACACACAGCACAGACTAATCCTCTTTGGAGCTTATAATTAAATCTGGAGTGTTTGCCTTGGGAGCGTCTACTCATCCTAGGAATAGGAGTGCTCAGCTCTCCAGAGAGCAGGGCACAGGCAGGAGGATCTCACACACACACACACACACACACACACACACACACGCAGAGGGGGTGGTATGAAGAATGTATACCCTCTAGTGTGGGTTTAACAGAACCGCACATGTTCCTTTTTATTTGTTTAAACTCTCCCATGTCAAATGAGGTATACACACATACCTCTCCACATTACAGTCCGTGAGAGTGTGTGTGTGCACACGCCGAGCAAGGCCATCTTTGTGATGTTGGTGCCCCCCCCCCCGAAAGCGAAGTGGAGCGAGGAAAGTGAGAGGACGAGAATGAGGAAGAGAAGGGACACCGGGATGGAAAGGAGGAGGAGTGAGAAAAAGAGAACAGTCATTTCACGGGTTATTGCCCGCCCTGATATGACAGGCACCAGGGAAGCTCAGACATCAGCACCAGCTCGGGACACACACACACACACACACACACACACACACACACACACACACTGAGAATCTGAGGGAGAGGAGGGACATGAGGATGAGCACAGGGACAGATTACCCAGCTGTGGAGACAAACCCAAATTAAGACAGACACACTGAGAGACACCTGCATGACCTTTGACAGCTCAGACTGCACTCAGGCGCAGATAAAAGAAGCACTTTTTCTCCGGAATAATATTGAGGCAAATCCGGAAAATTGAAAACCTCCCCAGGCGTTCAGAAATGAATGTTTTATTTCTGAAATGATTAGTCGACAAGAATCTTGGAAATCCATTAACCGTTTGAATAAGTTTTAAAGCAAGATGACCAGACGTAGGCCCAATGTCATTGCATAGAACCAACGGCTGTTATTCAATGTAATTGTGGTTTCTTCCTGTACCATGTTATTAATTACAGCCGTGTTTACCCTGCGATGACACGGCTAAGGTGAAAAGGTCCGATTCTCTGTTCGAGCCTCTTTGAGTAATGAAGATGTAGCAGCTCTCATGTTCTGCGGCTTATATTTTGAGGCGTTCAGATAAAAAGTACGGTTCGGATAATGTTCATTAGCTCAAGAAATCTTCCCGTTGTTATCTAATTGTTGTTTGTCTCCTCTTTGAAGTATTTTTAGACCCACAGGATAGGATTCGTTTGAAATTCACACAGTACAGTTAACATGCTTCTGGGGACATTTGCCTCAGCAGAGGAGCAACAGAAGGCAGAGGAGCAGTGCCAGATAGAGTTTGAACACTCACATGTTTGTGTACTTGTTTCTGTAAAGATAAATCATGACTCCTCAGTCCCCCCCCTCAAAAACTCCCACTAGCATAAATACAGAGGCGAGAGGAGGGAGGCGCAAATATATTCCGGGAAATCTTTTTCTTTTTTTCATCGAGGGGTAGAACAGGAGAAAAAGAGAGAGCAGATACAGCAGTGAAGTGAATGCATTTTTCAAAGTGGAGCTGAACTTTGTGCGAAATCCCCCCGGGGGCCGCCATTATTGAAAGCCATTTCCTCTCAAAATGAGTGCGGCTCCACCATTGGCCTGGTTGCCATTAGCATACATTTGGCCTGCCTTTGTGTGGAGCCGGCTGGGGCTGCAGCTGGAGGGGGGGTGTGTGGGTGTGTGTGTGTGTGTGTGTGTGTGTGTGTGTGTGTGTGGAGATAGTACAGGAGATGTAGCAAAGCACCTCACAGATGGGAGAGAGGAGAGGAATGAGTCAGAAGGATGACGATGAAATTGAAGCACACATTTGAATATTTCACTTGAAGTGTCAAACACGTCCATCCTCATTGTAGCTCTCCAAAAGAAAGCACATCAATATCGCCCATTGCATTTTGAGATGTCAGTGTTTTTGGATCTGTTTTTATTACATGCGTTCAACTGAATTTGACTTTTTGTAGCTTACAGTGTATTCCACTTTCCTCCCAGTCAAAAAAAAGAACAGTAGGTTTGCCAAGTTGCCTTCCCACTTTCTTGTTTTTATCAGATTTCCCTTCACTGGCAGATCTGTCTGGCTTTTCCCAGCCCTCAAATCACGAGTTTCTTCAGACCTGAAGGAGTGGATGCCAAGGAAGCATGGAAAGAAAACGGACCCCCGCCTGGGACTCAGTGCCGAGAGCTACAGCGTGGCAGCCAACTTGAGGAGCTGAAGTCTGGGAAAGAGGATTTGGAGAGAGGGCTGCGTCGAGTGGTTGGCCCCGGGGGGGGGGGGGATAGTGCTACTTTGGCTATTACCTCTGTCTCCGTCGGCCATTAACGCCGGGGTGCAGCTCAGCCTGCGGAGAGGCTCTGTGCTTGGGGACACACACAGATGCACACACACACACCGCCATATGGAGAATATTAACATCATTACCAATTCAAAGCAGCGGGTCATGGGCTCGGCGACCCAGCCCGGGGTTATCCAATCAGAGCAACCCCTGACCCACTCCCCCAAGGTGATTGGATTAGGAGGGCCGGGTTGGCGCGACAACGGTGCTGGCTGTGGCTGATAATTGGTTGATTAATGTGAAGCCGCTGAGTCAGAATGAACACACAACAGCTTAGGAAGCTCCTGTCACATCTGGACAGTGAGATGACCCACTGAGGAGGAGGCAAGGCGTGTGAGGCCAGGTCGTCACAGGCTGCTGATTCTACGTTTTCTAGGGAGTCAAGAAAGAAAATTAGCAAAATGTAGCTTGCTTGTTGTGACATAGATACCGTTTATTTTAGAGAACTAGAACCCGACGTTGGATCTATTTCGGGCCGGGTCCAAATTATGTTCAGTCTAATAGAGTACAGCAGAAATTAGTCAACATTATTTTGTTGATTATTGGAGGAAATGTTAAGGTTTACAAGAGTTGGCACTACTTTCTGTTTGGTGTGTGTGTGGTTCGGTTTGGATCTCCTTCTTAAGCCAGCAACGCTCGCTGTGTAGTGCCCTTTATGTCAGTCGCTCCTCCACTTTTGGACTTCTGACCTTTATCACGCACCTCTTTCTGTCAAGGAGCCTCTCAGGTTCTTTTGTTTGTGGACTGAACGCTTAGTGCTCTCATCAGGCGCTCTCGGCCCCCCTCCTTAAAAACCACAGGGCAGCATCTTGATTGTCCTCAGCATGTTGAGTATCCTCCGGTATGTTGGGGAAGTATCCCTTAAGGACTCTTATCCCACCTTCCTGAAAAGTGCACACACTTTCCCAGTCTTACAGCCACTTGAGCATTTTCACCCAGGGCTTTGTCTGCTCAGGCCTTAATGAGCCATGTCAAGACTGGACACACTTAGCAACACAAAATAGAAAATAATAAATGACTCAGCCCCTTCTGAGTGAAAGTAATGTGTTGATTATAATAGGTGAGTAAATAAGGGAAGGATGAAAACTGCTTTCTAATTTGGTCAACTGGAAAAAACCTCCCAAAAAATCACCCAATACTGTTTGTATTTATTTCAAATCTGTAATATCGTTAAATTCTGTATTTTGAAACTCCCGTAGAGTCCGGATGGTATTTTCAAGGTCAGGGGAGAAATCATATTTTCTCTGCCCTCGTCTCATCTTTATTAAAACCCCATTCTGCTTCTCACAGTTTCATAAATGATCAAGTGATCCCCGGCCCGCTGCTGTCCAGCTGTCGAATGACTCACTTAAAACTCGCCCAACTCAGTTAGAGTTATTGTCTCCGTAACTTATTTCATTTCTCCGGTCCTGGAGAGTCTTTCTTCGTAATCGTTTTTTCTGCGTTTGGCCCATGACAGCTGCTGATCTCTTTCCAAGACCCTCTGTGATTGGCTTAAAAGGTGATGTGACCCCTGTCTTTTATTGTTAAATAAGCAACCCAAGAGCATCTGAAGCAATGTGGGGATTATTGTGTTTGATTTCCCGAGAGGTGTCCTGCCCCCGTCTCTTATTTGCAGGCCCTTTATGAGGGATCCCATTGGTGTGCAGAGGCAGTGGCGTTTGTCCTGCTAACGGCGTTTGTGCTCAGACACAGAAGTGTTATGGAATCAGTAGAAATGAAAAGCTTTAGCGAGCTAGACACCAGTGGCTTTACCTGTTTACAATAACTTTTTCTCTGTCACTTCTATCTTAGCGTCTCCTCTTATTTCGTTGTTCCCAAAGTCAGGTTTGCGTTCAGGAAAATTAAATCATCTCTTTATAAATAAACCAAAACATACACTTTGAGGCTTCGGAGCTCAGAAATGAAAGTTTTATTTCTGAAATGATTAGTGGACAAGAATCTTGGAAATCCATTAACCGTTTGAATACGTTTTAAAGCAAGACGACCAGACGTAGGCCCAATGTCATTGCATAGAACCAACGGCTGTTATTCAATGTAATTGTGGTTTCTTCCTATACCATGTTATTAATTACAGCCGTGTTTACCCTGCGATGACACGGCAATATGCGTCCTGTGAAAAGGTCCGATTCTCTGTTCTAGCCTCTTTGAGTAATGAAGATGTAGCAGCTCTCATGTTCTGCGGCTTATATTTTGAGGCGTTCAGATAAAAAGTACGGATAATGTTCATTAGCTCTCAGTTAGAATTACATAGACTAGTCGCGTACAGGTCTGCCTGACATTCAGTCTGCAGACAGACACTGACGGGCAGCTCTGTGGAAGACAGGTCAGCAGGCATTGAAACGTCCTCTTCTTTGCACAGGATGCAATAAAATATAATAGAAAGGGCATACAGTGAACTAAGTTTGAACTGCGAACAATCTGAGAAAGTCGAGCTTAAAGTCTCTCCCATCTGTTTCTGTCGTTAGCTGCTGCTCCCTCAGCACGTCTCTATTACATGATAACTCTCCCTCTTTGAGAACTGTCCAAGACGTAAA